AGTTGAGAGAGTCTCGCTGTGTCTCGCAGGATGGAGTGAAGTGGTGCGATCTTGGCTCACTGCAATCTCTGCCTCCTGGGTTCAAGTGATTCTTCTGCCTCGGCCTCCCAAGTAGCTGGGTTAACAGGTGCACGCCACCATGCCTGGCTAGTTTTGTATTTGTAGTAGAGACGGGGTTTCACCATATTACACAGGCTGGTTCTCAAATTGCTGACCTCAAGTGATCTGCCTGCCTCAGCCTCCTACACACAGTGCTGGGATTACCGGGGTAAGCCAACATGCCTGGCCAAAATAAGGATTTTCTAGATCAATCCCTGCAGATGGATTCCTTAATATGTTGCCTTCTAGTGTTATCTTCCCTAAAGTTTCTTAGAAGATTCTCTTTTGGAGGTGGAGGACAGAAATCCACAGGACTTTACCATTAGGATTTACCTCTCACTTCTGGAAGGTTCTCAACCCACGTGCATATTGAAGGCTCAAGGAAGTTGTATGGAAAGGAAATCTGTCTTATTCTGCCACGCTCAGATTTTCCAGACTTTTTTTCCATTATTAAGGAATTTATTTTAGGGGGGGGACAGTCTTGCTCTATCACCCAGAGTGGAGTGCAGTGGCCTGATCTTGGCTCACTGCAACCTCCGCCTCCTGGGTTCAAGTGATTCTCCTGCTTCAGCCTCTGGAGTAGCTGGGACTAGAGGTGTATGCCACCACGCCCGGCTAATTTTTGTATTTTTAGTAGAGACCGGGTTTCCCCATGTTGGCCAGGCTGGTCTTTAACTCCTGACCTCAAGTGAAGTGCCCACCTCGGCCCCTCAAAGTGCTGGGATTACAGGCTTAAGCCACTGCACCCGGCCTTTTTCTCCATTATTAACATCACCAGAAACAGTGATTCCAAGGGCTCTGAAACCCCACCTTCACCAGTCCTGCCCAGAAGTCCTTATGTCTCACCCCTTCTCCGTCTATGTCAGCGTGACGTAGGCATCACATGCCACCACTCTCTTCTGACAGGACCTTGTTTTTTGGGTTCCTTCTGCATGAAGCTGGACCCATTCAGCCAGTACTCAGATGAAGTCTGGACGTCCCTGGAGCTGGCTCACCTGAAGGACTGCGTGTCAACCCTTCCCGATAGGCTGGACCACGAGTGCGCAGAAGGTGGACAGAACCTCAGGTAGGCGGGGGTAGACTGAGGAACACCAGGTAAGGTCTGCTAGGCGCCATCCCAGTAGGGGTGTTTGAATATTCTGTCCAGATCTGTGTCAGACCTGGATTTGAGTCCCAGTTGTGCTGCAGATGTCCCATTTGTCCCTTCAGCTTTTGGAGCCTCAGTTTCTCTATCTGTATAATGGGTCTTAATCCAGGCTCTTTGTACCATGAGGTATAATAACCAGGATGGACAATGCATTTCCTTTTATACACACCAGCTCCATTCAGTTGACAGTGGCCATCAGTTGTTAAGCTATAGAAAGGCTCCTGTACCGGTTGGTCACTAGCACTGCTCCGAGCCCAACGTCCCCAGCTGTCTTGGTCCTTCTCCCAGGATACTGGAGATCTGTCCATGACCCCGCAACTAAAGCATTAATGCCTGGCACAGCAGGGGAACCTCTGGGGTCCCATTCTGGTGTTGTCAGTGCCTGGTTCTGGTTTGGTTATCCGTCTCCATGACAACCAACCACAGAGTCTCAGTCACATTCAACCGTAAAGCAGTGATCTCTGCTCCCTGGCAAGGGCAGTCGGGCAGTTGTCTGGGCTCACATCATGTCTCGGGATCAGCTGGCTGTCGGCTCATCTACTTGGCCTCAGGTGGCGCAAGAAGGGTACGTGTGCATTCCTCATTCTCCAGCAGACCAGCTTGGGCATGTTGTCATGGCGATCACAGGGGCACAAGAGCACACAAACTCCCATGTGCATCTCGCAGTAGTCTTCCGGCTGGCCTTATGTTTGCTGGCGTCCCACTGGCCAAACAAAACAAGGTACACGTCTGAGTGCAGAGGCAACTGTCATGGCCCCACAGTTGGATAGGGATGCATGAATATGAGACCTTTTTATGTTTTTGAGGCAGGGTCTGACTCTGTCACCCAGGCCGGAGTGCAGTGGCGCAATCTCAGCTGTAACCTCCACCCCCAGGCTCAAGCAATTGTCCTGCCTCTGCCTCCCAAGTAGCTAGGATGTCATGTGCCCATCACCATGCCCAGCTAATTTTTGCATTTTTAATAGAGCCGGAGCATCAACACATTGGCCAGGCTGGTCTTGAACTCCTGGCCTCAAGTGATCCACCCGCCTTGGCCTCCCAGAGTGCGGGGTTATAGGTGTGAGCCACTGTGCCTGGCTTTTTTTTTGAGAGACAGGGTCTCATTCTGTTGCCTAGGCTGGAGTACAGTGGCTCGAGCTCAGCCTTGAACTCATGGACTTGAGCAATCCTCCTGCCTCAGCCTCTGAAGTAACAGACTACAGAAGTGTGCCACCACATCCAGCTAATTTTTTTATTTTTGTTTTTTTTTGGAGAGAGAGAGGTCTTGCTTTGTTGCCCAGGCTGGTCTCCAACTCCTGGCTGCAAGCAATCCTCCCACCTTGGCCACCCACAGTGCTGGGTTTGTAGGTGTGAGCCAGTTTTGAGAATGATTATGAACCTGCATCTTGCTGAGTAGGAGATGTGTTCAGATTGATCAGTGATGTCTGCTGCAGGCACAGATGTTGGGAGTGGACGGGCTCTCCTAGTCAAGGAACACAGAGTGTCTCGTCTCACTTCTCCCAGCCTGCGCCTAGGTTCAGGGTCGGGGTGGTTTGACCCAACACTGTCTCCTGGTCTTTTAGGCAGCGCCAGCTTGTGTGCCTGGCTCGGGCCCTGCTGAGCAAGATGAATATCCTTGTGTTGGATGAGGCCACGGCAGCCGTGGACCTGGAAATGGGCGACCTCATTCAGTCCACCATCCAGACGCAGTTCAAAGGCTGCACTGTCTTCACCGTTGCCCACCGGCTCATCATCATCATGGACTACACAAGGTGATGTCCCTGGCACGATGGCACTTTGGGAGTTTGCCTTACTCACTGGCTTATTAAGTCATTCATTCAACACTGTCCCTATTCCCAGTGACAGACCCAGTGGGTGGATCGTCTCTTCATCCTGGATGATACCAGATATTTCTTTTTTGTTTTGTTTTTTGTTTCTGGAGACGGAGTCTTGCTCCATCACCTAGGCTGGACTGCAGTGGTGCAGTCTTGGCTCACTGCAACCTCCACCTCCTGGGTTCAAACAATTCTCCTGCCTCAGCCTCCTGAATAGCTGAGAGTACAGGCATGCACTACCATGCCCAACTGATTTTTGTACTTTTAGACGTGGGGTTTCACCATGTTGGTCAGGCTGGTCTTAAACTGCTGAGATTACAGGTGTGAGCCATGATGCCAGGCCCTAGCCAGGGTTTTTACCTATGGTGTTTTTCTTCTATTCTGGTTTCCTGTGGGAAGGGGCTGGGGTACTGTCAATCATGGGACCTGATCAGAGAGGTGGTCACATGACACAGCCTAGCCTATCAGAGTCTACTCTTCATTCAGTTAATGTGACGAGTTCAGAGATGCATACAACATCCACAAAGGGCCAATCAGAACCTTCTCTGGGATTAATATGGGACTAATGAGCTGGAGAAACATTTTACGTGTTGAATTGCTAAGGTGAGATGGTGTGATGGCTAGTGGCCATCTGACCTGCCCTGGAAAAAAGAGCACGTGCAAAATGCGACCAAACAGAGGTAAGCCAGTGGCTCCTAAACATTTGTGTGCATCAGAATTACTTGGAGGGTTGAAACCTAGATTCATGGGCTGACTCACAAAGTGAGTTAGGCCTGGGCTGGGGCCTAAGAGTGTACATTGCTAACTAGTCCCCAGGTGAGACTGCTGCTGATCCTGGGGCCACACTTTGAGAAGCTGCCTGTGTCTGCTGCCCACCCACTGCAGGGTTGTCTGCCCACAGGCTCAGCCAATAGCCCTGGCATAAGTAGGCGGCTTGTTGGCAGAATAAGAGGAAGAGCGCGTAGAGGCAGAGGGTGGGTTTCCATGGGCCACAGGTAGGCAAGGTACACTGCAGCCTTCACCTGTAGCACACAGGAGGGAGAGGGAGGCAGAGAGAGCCCCTGGAGGGAGGGATGAGTTAAGGCCAGGCAAGGCTCTCAGAAAACATGCCAATGGGCAGAGGGAACCACCACAAAGACCCCACAGGTTCTTCCTCTGTTCCTCCCAACAGGAGCTCCATCTCCCCCACAGGCCCTGGATAGCCTGAGAATCCCCATCTCCTATACAATCCCCAATGAGTTAGTATTCATATATATATTTTTTTTTCTTTTTTGAGACAAGAGTCTCAGTCTGTCACCCAGGCTAGACTGCAGTGGTGTGATATCTCAGCTCACTGCAACCTCCACCTCCCGGGTTCAAGTGATTCTCCTGCCTCAGCCTCCCAAATAGCTGGGACTGCAGGCACATGCGATCACACCTGGCTACTTAAATTGTATTTTTAGTAGAATCAGGGTTTTACCGTGTTAGCCAGGATGGTCTTGATCTCCTGACCACATGATCCACCGTGCCCAGCATTACTTACTTATTTTAGGACAGGGTCTTTCTTCATTGCTCATGTCACCCAGGCTGGAGTACACTGGCACAATCATGGCTCACTGCAGCCTTGAACTCCTAGGCTCAAGTAATCTCCCACCTCAGCCTCGCAAACAGCTGGACTATGGGTTTGTACCACCATGCCTTGTTAATTTTCCTATTTTTAAAGAACTAGAGTCTCGATATGTTGCAGAGGCTGATCTCAAAGTCCTGGCCTCCAGTGATCCTCCCTCCTCGGTCTCCCAAAGTGCTTGGATTACAGGTGTGCGCCACCACACCCATCCAGAAGGGCTTTCTTGAACACCCACCATGGGTCAGCCATGCTCATAATAACCTCCATTTCACAGATAAGGAAGCTGAGGCACAGAGAGGTTCAGGCACTGGTTTAGGGTCCTGCTGCTACAAATCTGAAGTTCCATGCACAATTGCGGCCAGACAGGATTGTTGAAAACATCCATCTAATCCTATCTTGTCACTCACCTGTCCATGGCTCTCTCTTCCTCTTAGAAGAAATTCCAGCCAGGCAGGTGACTCAACACCTATAATCCCAGCACTTTGGGAGGCCGAGGCAGGCGGATCACCTAACGTCAGGAGTTTGAGGCCACCCTAGACCAACATGGTGAAACCCCATCTCTACTAAAAATACAAACGTCAGCCAGGCGTGGTGGCAGGTCCCTGTAATCCCAGCTACTTGGGAGGCTGAGACAGGAGAATTGCTTGAATCCAGGAGACAGAGACTGCAGTGAGCTGAGATTGCTCCACTGCACCGCACCCTGGGTGACAAGAGTAAAACTCCATCTCAAAACAAAAAAACTGAAATTCCAATATTCTTATCTCGTCCCCACTTACTGCCTGCCAGCTTCATGGGACCCCTTTCTCTGGCACCCTAAAGCACTTACCGCTTTGGAGCCATTGTGTCTGCTGCTTCCTCTCCCTGGAGTACTCTTGCTCTTTGTATGATTAGTTCCTTCACACGTTCTTTGGGGAAGCTCACATGTATCTTTTCAGAGCATCCTATCCACACCACCCATGACCTTCAGTTGGTCTCCATTTCATATTTTCCTTAAGAGGCAGGGTCTCACTCTGTCACCCAGGCTGGATTGAAGTGGCATGATCATACTTCACTGTACCCTTGAACTCCTGGCCTCAAGCAATCCTCCCACCACAGCCTCCCAAAGTTGGGATTACAGCCGTAAGCCACTGCGCCTGATCATTCTTCTTATTTTTTTTTTTTGAGATGGAGTCTTGCACTATCACGCAGGCTGAAGTGCAATGGCACAATGTTGGCTCACTGCAACCTTCACCTCCTGTGTTAAAACGATTCTCCCACCTCAGCCTCCTGAGTAGCTGGGATTACAGGCGCCCACCAACATGCCCAGCTAATTTTTTTGTATTTTTAGTAGAGATGGGGTTTCACTATGTTGGCTAGGTTGGTCTCAAAATGCCGACTTTGTGATCCACCCGCCTCGGCCTCCCAAAGGGCTGGGATGACAGGTGTGAGCTGCTGTACCTGGCCCATTATTTTCTTTGTAGCACTTACTGTTATCAGATATGGCTTGCTTATTAGCCTAATCATTTTCTCTCCATCTATCCTCACTAGTATCCATCCAATCTTCCACCAGACTTAGCCTGGCACATAGTGGGCATTGTGTATGTGTTTGCTGGATGAATGAGGGGGTGGGTGGGTGAATAAATGAGTTGGTAGCTAGGTAGGTCGGTATGTGGATGAGTAAGTGAATGGATGGAGAGATGAATGAATGAATGAACGAACGGCTAAACAGATGCATAGGTGAGGGAATGGTTGGTATGTATTGTTAGCTGGGTTACATGGATGGGTTGGATAAAGGAGAAGGTCGGTGAACGGATGGGATGGATGGGTGGGTGTGTGGATGATGGGATGAATAAGTAGGTGGGTGGAGGTACGTAGCAGGATAGAAGAGGAAAAACAGGACAAGCTTCACACTTAGACTGGCCTAGATTTGAGGACACAGACAAGTCTTTTAACTTGGCTGCAAGTGAGCTGTGATTACATCACTGCAGTCCAGGGTGGGTAAGTGACTGAGCCACTGTCTCAAAAATAAATTTTAAAAGATTTCTTATGTATGTCTAAAATAGAGCTATCATATCTATTTTTTAGAGTGATTGTGAGGATTAAGAAAATGAAGGTCTAGAATTCTACTGGCACATAGTAGGTGTTCAAGAAAGGTGAGTATCACCACTGTCAACTGCTACATCTGGTGGGAGGACTTGGGCCCCTGGGGGGGGGGAGCAGTGGGCCAGTCTGGTGCTTACCCTGCTGTTGCACACTGTCCCTTCCTGTTGGCCATGCTGTCCTGTCAGGGTCATCTAGTGGAACCCCTCTCTGGGCTAATGAAGCAGTATAGTCCTTCTCAAGGATTGACTTGATGGACCTGTTGTTGAGAGGAAATAAAGATGAAGTCAGTGTCTCTCCCAGTAGTGGGGTGTATGCACCCAACCCTCAGGCCCACATACATACACTGAGCTCAGGGTATACTCTCCATTCATTCATTCATCATTCATTCATCCATCCAACACAATACTGACCTGATATCACACTTCCCTTCTCCCTGTGTGGCACGCAGCTAAATGCCATCAATTACCTCAGAGTCAAGCAAGCCCCTTCTTCTGATGCCATTTCACAGGATGAACTTAGTTTGCCTGTCATTGGAACTCTGTTCTCAGAATTTTCTTTTTTTCTTTTTTGAGACAGGGTCATGCTATATTGCCCAGGTTGGTCTCAAACTCCTGAGCTCAAGCGATCCGCCCACCTCAGCCTCCCGAAGTGCTGGGATTACAGGCATAAGCTGCTACACCCATCCTGTTCTCAGAATTTTCATTTTGGCTTAAGCTTTGGTGCAATTGGTTTGCCCCTACTGTTTACCATCAGATTTGTCAGTCCAACTGACAGAACATAAATTATGCACAATTCAGATGTTGAAGACTTTTTGAATGTCTTGTCTGTGGATGGGTGAGCCGACTTAGCCTGTGTACCTCAGTGTCCTCAGCTGTCAAGATGGGGTACTATCTATCCATCCATCCATTTATCTACGTATCTGTATATCTATATATACTGGTCTACCTACCTGTTATTAAGTTCAGCCTAAAGCTGCCTCCTTACATATTTTAGGTTTGGCCTAAACGTTTTCCCATACATAGTGAACTGTAAATTAACTGGACTCCTACACAGACTGGAACCTACTCATGTGTCAATCACTGAATTTCAGCCAATAGAAGGCAGCCAACTGTTTAAACCATGTTCAAATAAAGCAAATGCTGAGCTGCAACCAGTCTGTCTGTTTCTGACCTCACTTCTGTCCTTCACCTTCCTTTTTTTGTCCATGTTCTGGTTCAGTGGCTGCATGATGTGAGGATCATTCTTTACTCAATTAACCTCTGTCAGCCAGGTGCCTTGACTCATGCCTGTAATCCCAGCCCTTTGGGAGGCCGAGGCAGGCAGATCCCGAGGTCAGGAGTTCAAGACCAGCCTGGCCAAGATGGCAAAACCCTGTCTCTACTCAAAATACAAAAATTAGCTGGGCCTGGTTGCACGCCTATAGTCCCAGCTACTTGGAAGGCTAAGGCATGAGAATCTCTTGAACCCAGAAGGCAGAGGTTGCAGTGAGCTGATATCGTGCCACTGCGCTCCAGCCTAAGGGACAGAGAGAGATTCTGTCTCAGAAACAAAACACAGTGAAACAGCTTTAGACACATTATGTTTGACAGACGTTATTATTATTTTTGAGATGCAGTATTGCTCTGTCGCCCAGGCCAGAGTGCAGTGGCACAATCTCTTCTCACTGCAACCTCCACCTCGCGGGTTCAAGCAATTCTTGTGCCTCAGCCTCCGGAGTGGCTGGGGCTACAGGCGTGCACCACTGGGCCTGGATAATTGTTGTATTTTTAGTAGAGACAGTGTTTGGCCATGTTGGCCAGGCTGGTCTCGAACTCCTGACCTCAGGTGATCCACCTGCCTCTGCCTCCCACAGTGCTGGTATTACAGGCCTGAGCCACCACACCCAGCCCTAATGTATCTAAAGGTTTTCTCTAAACACGACTACTTATCCATCTGATCTTACTTTGGATTCTTGTGCGCCAAGCACACGGTGGGATTGGTCAGTGTGTGAGAAGTGTCCTCAGGGTCACTAGCTGGGATGGCGGTCAGCCCCAGTGATCCCCAGGGACTGAGGCCCCTCAGGATCCTTGCTACCCCGCACCCCTGTATAGAAGGCACTTAAGCTCGAAGCACCTGGTACCAGTGGCCTGTGGTTTTGCTCCCTAATATCCCGCTCATGAAGAGGGGAGAGTAGCAAGCAGCAGGTCCCTCTGCTTCAGACAGTGAGCTCAGCTGTGTCCCGGCTGGAGGGAGCTGAGCAAAATGGGGACCGCAGGCCTCCTCCTGGCCTCCTGTCCATGTGTTCTGGCCAACAGCAAGTGATGCTGTGTGTACAGACCCAAGCCCTGTGCATAACCCACCTGCCAAAGCATAAATGACCGGGCCTGGCACGGTGGTTAACAGCTCAAGGGAGGCTCTTTCTTTGGAACCAGCCCTGCCCTGCTGCAGCACTGCAACAACTCCAGCAAGCTGGCTCGGCCCCCTTGAAGACATCCATCACGCTGGAAGGCATTTGTTCATCCCATGAACTGGCCCTATGGGGACCTAATCATCTTGGCCAACTGGACCAATTTTGGTGAATTATCCCTCAGCAGGGCACCATGGGGGGACTTTAGCAGGTGCTCCATCCATAATGGTGCTGATTGTCCCCAACTGCCTGAGACACAGGTGGTCCCTTCAGCCACATCAGCTTCAGCCTGTGCCTTTCTGAGTGTGGCACCATGGTGGACTCACCTCTCAGGTCTAAGCTCGGCCTCCTGCCTGCAGAGGAGCCTCTAGGGTCCTTGGTGCTGGTCCCAGGTTCTGTTTCTGCAAGGTCGAGAGAGTCGTGTCACACAACATGGGCCAGGTACTTTGACACCCACTGACCACGTGGCCTTAACTGCTCTGACCATCCATTTTCCCTGTTCTGGCTCCTGCCACCTCTCCAGCAACCTCAACACCCCACTCTGAGTTCTTCCAGGAACATCATTCAGGCATTCACTCACTCATTCAGTTTTTCTATAAGTGAACTGAGCACCTGCTGTGAACTTGAGGTTGGAAAAACAGCAGTGAACACTGTATAAAGTCATCTGTTTCTCCTGACAGCCTTGCTCAAGCAGTTCCTTGTGTCTGGAATGCTCTTTTCTGGCTAACTCCCACCTACCCTCAGGTACCATCTCTCCCAGGAAGGACACCTCCCCATCACTGTCCCCCAGGTGTGGCCAGTAACTGAAGGCAGAGCTGTAGAAGTTTAACCACAGACCTGTAAGCAAGAAATAACTGCTAGCATTGGCTGCTGGGGGTGGGGGGGGCGCTGTTTGTTACACGGCATCATTGCAGGAAAAGCTGACCAATACAAACAGGCAAATTCTAGCTTCAAGCTTCAGGGCTGGGACATTGTGAATCAACACTTAGGGTTTTTAGCCAGGGTGGGCCAATCCTAAGCAGATGTCCTCAGAAGAGACAAAGTCTGAGCTTGAGGGAGACCTGGGTGAGTCCTTGCTCTGTCATGCAGGGATAGTAAAAAGCCTAGTGATTAAAAAACACATTCTCTGGAATCAAGTTGCTTGGGTGCAAATCCCAGTGCTGCCACTTATAAGCCATGTAACCTGGGACTAGTTCCTTAACTTTTGGGCCTCAGTTTCCTCATCTGTGAAATGGAAATGATTCTAGTCCCAGCCTCACAGGGGCATCATGTTGATTCAGTGAGCTAATACATGTGAAGTGCTGCGAGTTGCTACTTTTCACTGTGGGTGAGCTTGGCTTGGCAACTCTACTTCCAGAACCTTGTCATGTATCCAGCGGACTTTGTGTTCTTTGGATTATTAGAAACTCTAGCTGGCGTGCTGTAGCTTTCTAGGCATCAAAACCTTCTTGTGCTGTCTCCATAGCAACTGCAAGCATAGACTCTGGAGTTGGACACACTCAGGTTCTAATCTGAAGACCTTGGGCAACTGATTTAACGTTCTTTGCTCATCTGTAAAATGACAGCAGCAACTTCACACGCCTCTGAGGGCACTCTGAGAATCAAATGAAATAGTGTATTTTTTACAGAAGCACTTAGCACAGCCCCTGGCTAGTAGATGGTGTTACTGGCTCTTCTTGGAGAGAGGGGACCTACTGGAGAGCTGTCTGCTTCTGGGCATGGGCCTGCAGGGAGGGTGTGACCAGGGCACTCCACTCTTGCCATTAGGACCCTTTGAGCCCTTTTCCCCAAAGGTGGCAAGAGCCAGGCACGGAGAATCAGCAAAGCCCACCTAGTACCTCCTTCTCCTCTGTCTCCTGGCTGTCTGGCTTGATCCAGAAGACTCATGAGGGCCCCCTTCTTGTGCAGAAGCTCCTGGTAGGAACCCATCTCTACAATGGCCCCATCTCCCAGTACCACGATTGCATCAGCCTGGGGCAGGATGTGGAATGCGTGGGTCATGAGAATCCTATCTGGGCAGGGAAAGGTTAGAAGTTAACACACATGTAGCCACGTTCCATGGCTCATGCCTGTAATCCCAACACTTTGGGAGGCCAAGGCAGGTGGATCACTTGAGGTCAGAAGTTCAAGACCAGCCAGGTCGACATGGCTAAGCCCTGTCTCTACTAAAAATACTAAAATGAGCTAGGTATGGTGGTACACACCTGTAGTCACAGCTACTTGAGAAACTGAGGCATAAGAATCACTTGAAACTGGGAGGCAGAGGTTGCAGTGAGCTGAAATTGCACCACTGCATTCCATCCTAGGTGATACAGCAAGACTCTGTCAAAAGGAAGGAAGGAAGGAAGGAGAGAAAGAGGGAGGGAGGGGAAGGAAAAGAGGAAGGAAGGGAAGGGAAAGAGGAAGGAAGGGGAAAGAAAGTAAGAAAAGTTACACACACGTGCTTGGCTAGCCTCCTGGAGCAGCAGGTTGGGGTGGGAGTATTGTCCCTGGACAGTGGGGAGAGCTTCCCTTCTTGTGCTCCTGCCATCTTTCTTGAAAATAGCATTTCCAAATAGAGAAACAGAGGGGACTGCTTCAGCCTGTCTCAAGAAGACAAGGAGTCCACCTGACCTGGGCCAATCATCTGAGGCACAGCTGTAGTAGTTAAACCACAGATGCATAAGCAAGAAACAGCTGCTGTTGTAAGCTGATGGAATCTGAGGGGTTGTTTGTTATGTAGCATCATCACAGCAAAAACTGACCAATACAAAGAGGAAAACTGGACTCAAGTGGAAGGGGGCGGTGAGAGAAACCTGGGTTAGGACTGGATGCTAAGGGCAGCCTCTGCCTTTGCCCTGTGCCCTCTGACATGTTCCCAAACTTACCGTTCCCCTGGAGTAGCCCGCCAGGCCTGATGACCTGGTTGAAGATGTGCTGGCCGACCTGGGCGTCCAGAGCCACCAGAGGGTCATCCAGCAGGTACACAGCTGCCTTTCTGTACATAGCCCAGGCGAGGCTCCGCTGCTGCTTCTCGCCCCTGAGAGATTCATGCCCTGTGGCCACAAAAGGAACAGTGTCCTATGTCTGCATCTACAGGGTGAAACTGGGGAGCCCAGGCAGAAGCAGGGTGGGCCACATCTGCCCATCAGGGTGAGGTATAGCTCCCCATGCCTGTCCCCGGGGACATGCTCAACTTCAGAGGCACTCACTGCCAAGCCAGCACCCCCTCCATCCTCCCCTTCCCAGCACGCTTCCTGGAGGAGTTACCTGCGCTTCCCAAGCTACTCTGTCTCCTACTCACTCTCTGTATCCATTTGAGTCCAACTTCTGTTCCCTTTCTCCACTGAGACCACCTTTAACGAGGACATCATTCATTTCCCTAATTCTGTGATCCAATGGTAACTTTTCAGTCCTACTTTTAAAAAAATTTTGAATTGTAATTGATTTATTTTAGTTTTTATTGGTATGTAATAGTTGTACCCATCTGAGGGGCACAGGTGATAGATAGTTCGAGACCTGTAGAGCAGTGGTCCCCAACCTCTTTGGCACCAGGGATCGCTTTTGTAGAAGACAACTTTTCCATGGACCTGGGGGCAGGGGGGGTGGTTTCAGAATGATTCAAGCACATTACATTTACTGTGCACTTTACTTATTTATTGAGATGGAGTTTTGCTCTTGTCACCTAGCTGCAGTGGAATGGCATGATCGTGGCTCACTGCAACCTCTGCCTGCTGGGTTCAAGCAATTCTCCTGCCTCAACCTCCCAAGTAGCTGGGATTACAGGTGCCTGCCACCATACCTGGTTGATTTTTTGTATTTTTAGTAGAGATGGGGTTTTATCATGCTGGCCAGGCTGGTCTCAAACTCTTGACCTCAGGTTATCCACCTGCCTCACCCACCCAAAGTGCTGGGATGACAGGCATGAGCCATTGTGCCTGGCCTGCTTCTATTATTATTACATTGTAAAATATAATGAAATACTTACGCAACTCACCATAATGCAGAATCAGTGAGAGCCTGAGCTGGTTTTGCTGAAACTAGATGGTCCCTCTGGGGGCGATGGGAGACTGTGATAGACCATCAGGTATTAGATTTTCATAAGAAGCATGCAGCTGCAGGTCGTGGTGGTTCATGCCTTCAATCCTAGCACTTTGGGAGGCAAAAGCAGGTGGATCATGAGGTCAGGAGTTTGAGACCAGCCTGGCCAACATAGTGAAACTCCGTCTCTACTAAAAAAATACAAAAATTAGCTGTGCGTGGTGGTATGTGCCTGTAATCCCAGCTACTCAGGAGGCTGAGGCAGGAGAATCGCTTGAACCTAAAAAACGGAGGTTGTGGTGAGCCAAGAACGCACCACTGTTCTCCAGCCTGGCAACAGAGCGAGACTGCATCTCAAAACAAAACAAAACAAAACAAAAACAAAAACAAAAAAAAAAAAAAAAAAAAAAGCAGCAGCATGCAGCCTAGATCCCCCGCATGTGCTGTTTATGGCAGGGTTTGCCCTCCCATGAGAATCTAATGCTGCCACTGACCTAGAGGTGGAGCTTAAGTGGTGATGTGAACAATAAGGAGTGGCTGTAAACACAGGTGAAGCCTCACACGCCTGCCCGCTGCTCACCTGCTGTGTTGCCTGTCCAGTTCCTAACAGGCCTCAGAGTGGTACTGATTCGCAGCCAGGGGGTGTGGGGACCCCTGATGTAGACAGTATGTAATGATCATTACAGGGTAACTGAGATAGTCATCAGCCCAAATATTTATTTTCTGTATTGGGAACACGACAATCCTTCTCTTCTAGCTATCCTGAAATTTACAAATAAATTCTCATTCACTATGATTTCCCTGGTGTACTATTGATTACTATCACTTATTCCTTCTATGTAGACTGCCTTGTCTTTCATACATTCTTTTTTAAAATTATTTTTATTTATTTTTGAGACACTGTCTTGCTCTTTCATCCAGGCTGGAGGGCAGTGGTATGATCTCGACTCAGTCCAACCTCCACCTCCCGGGTTCAATCGATTCTCCTGCCTCAGCCTCCTGGGTAGCTGGGATTACAGGTGCGTCACGGCCTGACTAATTTTTGTATTTTTAGTAGAGATGGAGTTTCACCATGTTGGCAAGGCTGGTTTCGAACTCCTGACTTCAAGCAATCTGCCGCCTGGGCCCCCCCCAAGTGCTGGGACTACAGGCACGAGCCACCGCACGCAGCCTTCATTCACTCTTACATTAGTTCATTCCACTAATAACTACTGCCTGGTTATCATATCCCCGGCAGGATTCTAGGCTTTGGGGAAACAGCAATGAACGAAACAAAGTTTCTGCTCTCTGAATGGATCAGTCACTCTAATGAGGGGGAGAGAGGCGATCCATAAACCAGTAACACAGACAGCACATCAGGTGGAAATAAATACTAAAGCAGGTGCAGTGGCTCATGCCTGTAATCGCAGCACTTTGGGAGGCCGAGGTGAGTGGATCACTTGAGGTTAGAAGTTCAAGATCAGCCTGGCCAACATGGTGAAACCCTGCTTTTACTAAAAGTAAAATAAAAAAAGCAGCCAGGCGTGGTGGCACCTGCCTGTAATCCTAGCTACTGAGGAGGCTGAGGTGGGAGGATTGAACTTGGGAGGTGGAGGATGCAGGGAGCCAAGATTGCGTAACGTGCACTCCAGCCTGGGCAACCGAGCAAGACTCCATCTCAAAAAAAGAAAAGAAAGTAGAGAAACAACCCACAGAAAGAAAATATCTAACGTTACATATCTAACACCAGTCTGTTAACCACAATGTATAATTTGTGTGACTCAACAAAAACAACCAAATTACAGAATGGAGAAACAGTTAAACACACGCTCCTTCAATAAGACGTGCAAATGGAAAGCACATGAAAAGATGATCAATACCGTTATCATTATGGCCATCTCAACTGAAACCACAGTGACATACTCCTTCACACACACTAGGAAGGCTATGATCCAAGAAGTGTAAGATGACGTGTTGGCAAGGTCGGAGAGAAATCACAACCCTTAAATACTCTGTGTGGAATATAAGCTGGTGCAGCCTACTTTTAACACAGTTTGGTATTTCCTCAAAAAGCTAAAAATAGGCCAGCACAATAGCTAATGCCTGTAATCCCAGCACATGGGGAGGCTGAGACAGGTATATCACTTGAGTTCAGTCCAGGAGTTGAAGACTGCCCACGACCACAGAACCCCGTCTCTACTAGAAATACAAAAATTAGCCAGGCATGGTGGCGCACACCTGTAGTCCCAGCTACTTTGGAGGGGCTGAGACAGGAGAACTGCCTGAGCTCAGAATGTGGAGGTTGCAGTAAGCCGAGATCGCACCACTGCACTCCAGCCTGGGCGAGGGCACAACACCATGTCTCGAAAAAGAAAGGCTGGGCATGGTGGCTAACGCCTGTAATCCTAACACTTTGGGACGCTGAGGTACAAGAATCACTTGAGGTTAGGAGTTCAAGACCAGCTTGGCCAACATGGCAAAACCCCATCTCTACCAAAAATACAAACATTACCTGGGCATGGTGGCACGCACCTGTATTCCCAGCTACTTGGGAGGCTGAGGCAGAAAAATTGCTTGAACGCAGGAGGCAGAGATTGCCATGAGCCTATATGACCACGGCACTCCAGCCTCGCCGACAGAGCAAGATTCCAACTCAAAAAAAAAAAAGAAAAAAAAAGGAAAGAAAAACAAAATTCCTGGGAGTGACAGGGTGCAGTGGCTCACATGTGTAATCCCAGCATGTTGGGGGGCTGAGGTGGGTGGATCACCCGAGGTCAGGAGTTCGAGACCAGCCTGACCAACATTGAGAAACCCCATCTCTACTAAAAATACAAAAATTAGCAGAGTGTGGTGATGCACACTTGTAATCCCAGCTACTCAGGAGGCTGAGGCAGGAGAACCCTGGAGGGAGAGGTTGCAGTGAGCCAAGATTGTGCTACTGCACTCCAGCCTGGTCGACAGAACAAGACTCCATCTTAAAAAAAAAAAAGAAAAAGAAAGAAAGAAAGTGAAAAGACACACAAAAAGAAAATTTGTGCATTACATATCTCACAACAGTCTGTTAACCACAATGTATAATCTGAATAACTCATCAAAATCAACAAACTTACAAAATGGAAAAACAGTTGAACACACAC